TGAGACGTTCAGTAAATTAAAGCACGAAAACACATATAACACACTACAAAAATAAAAAACTATCTTTAATTTATTTTGTCTATTGTTTTTTTGTCAGTCAAAACGTATTTTATTTTCTCAACCATATCCATTCCATATTCTAGGTATGTATGGTGTTTATTTAGCCGAAATAACTTAATTCGAATTTAAATTTCACTTGCCAGATTTAATCGAAATACCTAAACATAAGAAACTACATTTTTTTTAAAGCTGGGGGCCTCATTCAGCTTTGGCGCCCCGGACCTCTGACGGGCTTAGTCCGCCACTGTTTTCAGGCGAGCCCTAACCTCATCAGCTCGGGTTCCCCGTGGTATTACACTCGAAGTTCGAGATAAAGATAATGGTTTTTAGGTGGCATTGTGTAATAATCTACGGTAACGAAAAGGCTGTCAGTTACCTAACAAAATAACCCGTGTTAGAAGTAACTTTAGCTACCTTACACTTAAAATCTTAATGACTATTTACACTAAAATATTCTAATAGAATTATAACCAGAAATATATACAACTCACAACAAAATAGAAATGAAAATAAAGCTGAAACGTCTGTGCAATACTATCTACCTGTAACAACTTCACTTAAAAATAAATACCTATAACTACTTTAATTAATAAAAGTACCTACTTACGCTTAATAATTTGTAATTTGAACGAATATTTAAACACTACCTTAAACACTACCAAAACAACCAATACGTGGTCCTAACTTTAGCTACCTTACACTTTAAATCTAAGTGACTATTTAAACTAAAATATTCTTATAGAATTATAACCAGAGATATATACAACTCACAACAAAAAAGAAATGAAAATAAAGCTGAAACGCCTGTGCAATACTATCTACCTATACCTACTTCACTTAAAAATAGCTGGCTCTGGCCGGGAAGGCCTCTAAGGCTTCATCGGAAGCGATCGTCCCCCAGGGGGGGGAGCGACGCAGGAGCTCGCTCTCGGACCTCCCGCCTTTTTATACCGTCGAGCGCGGCAACCGTTACACAAAAATAATCCTTATAGCATGATTCAGTATTCACGTGCGACGGCGCGATGGCTTATTTTATGTATAAGTAAAAACAAATAAACAGTGTAGTCTAAGCAGGTTGCCTGCTTTTTCTCGCGCTTTGTTTTCTGAGTCTGAATCTGAATCCGAATCTGAGTGCACTCTGGCCGCACCCTAAGGCCGTATACAGAAAGAAAGCCGAAAGCCGATCGGCGCTTATCGGTGCCGATTCTAACTACACAAAGGAACAAAACTACATAAAGGAAGCCGATTATAGCAGATCATGCAAAATTCAGACTCATCGGACGATGATTTGGTTTTGTTAGAAAATGTGTATTCCGATTTCTATGATTCTATTTTTATTGAATAGGTTATAATGTTAACTTTTTTAAATTAGGGATGAGTGAGAGTATTATAAACGTAAGAGTAAACAAATATAATCAGAATGCTCCGAACTGCTAAGCTATCAGGAGTTACACAATAACACGTTATTGTGAGTCAACCACAAAATGCTGTTGCGGGATATTTTTTAGACAATTTTATGTAGAATATTTCCGTCATACATGATTTCTATGTAACTTTAACCATAAAGGCTGCACACGCGACGGAAGCTTAAAAAATGGAGTAACTTCTCCCGTTTTCCCAACATTTTTCTTCACTACTCTGCTAAAGGTGGCAGTATACTATAACCTGCCCAGGAGTATGAAGAATAATTGTACCAAGTTTCGTTAAAATCCGTTGAGTAGTTTTTGTTTCTATAAGGAACATACACACAGACAGACAGACAAAAATTTTACTGATTGCATTTTTGGCATCAGTATCGATCACTAATCACCCCCTGATAATTATTTTAAAAATATATTTCATGTACAGAATTGACCTCTCTACAGATTTATTAAAAGTATAGATTAATGACCCACTGGCGTCGATTCTAGCATGATTCTCTAAACCTAAACCTTAATTTGACAGCAGTATATCCTTGTCATTTTCTATACAGAATGAAAAGGAGAGACTGATGTTAAATTTAGTTTTAAGTTCAGAGAATCACGCCAGAATTGGCACCAATATATAGACTTACATCTTTGTCGTTGTTTTTTAAAGCATTCACCAGTTACAGGTCGCAGGCTTTCTGTAACCTTAGTACAAGTTTGAGCTCACGAAAACTATCATAGTTTTCGTAATTGTAAATTATGTTTCTTTGCTCATTTTGGTGAAAAGTAGGCAGGGCCGGATTTAGGATTGTGGAGGCCCCGGGCCACTTAGGATTTGTATTCTTGTTAACCCATCGAAATGTTGTTATTTCTAAGCCGTTGTGGAGGCCCCTGGGCCACAGCCCCACCTGCCCTGCCTTAAATTCGGCCCTGCGGGCAAGTACCACCCCACTCAGCCATTAAGCGATTGGGGTACACCCTCAAGATGGGTAGTGCATTGGAAGTGCTTATCAGGGCCATTTGAGATTTTGATATATCACTAATTGCCTGATTGGAGTGAACAAATATAGATCAATGATTTCTGTTACTTAAGATTAATATAATCAAATAATCATGTATGTTAGATGTACAGAGTACTGTAGACTGTAGGTAAAGGTAAAAGAGCATAAAAAATATCAAAGGAAAAGATATTTACTAGTTGGAATTTGAATGATTTTTTTTTCCGAAGTCTCTATTGTGGGGGCCCCCCGTTTGTGGAGGCCCCGGGGCTTTCGCCCCGGTTGCCCTCCCCTAAATCCGGCAGTGAAAGTAGGTAACCAAATATACTTAAAATTTAAGAAGATCCAAATTAATCAATGATAGAATTTAAACACTGTTTATTTGTATTGAAACGAAAACAATAAAATCAGTACCCTTAGTACGAGTGCTAACGAAAACTATCATAGTTTTCGTAATTGTAAAACTCGTACTAAGGGTACTGGTCTACCCTTTTTTATTGGTAGTGTAAAGCTCGAATAAAGAGTACTTCCAGCTATCAATCGGACTGCTATCAACCTAGTAGGTATTGCAAATGGTGCAATAATCTTAGATTAAAACAAAAAGGGTACGGCACTAGCCTCACAAAAGTGATCCGCACCAATTGTGGTCCACGACCCTAATCGCTTTAGTCACAACTTGACATGCAAACGACGTACATGTGAACGCCAAAAAGAAATATTGCTAATATTTTGTGTTTAAATGATAAAACAAACTAGCAAACCAGTGAACCAAATGTTCACCAATAAAAAATGTATTTAATTAATTGAGAACTTCGGAGATTTTGTGTGGTTTCGTTTGAAATAGAAATCACGTGATTTCTCGAAAACCGGAAGTGCTACGTTATTCACATCCGGTTTGTAGTCTTATCAGACTATTCTTAACTTATAACTTAAACTTTCTCTATATCTATCTCTTACGGTTTGGCCGCTGAAACAGCACCACGGACAGACGGACGGTCTTGTCTAATAGATAAGAGATCCCTAAGTGTGTTTTTAAAAAGTGCTCAAATTGCTCCAGAACTGAAAATAAAACCCACGGCATCACTTTTCATTCGTAAGTACTATAAAATATATTTTTTCATAAAAATTGTTGTTTGTTTTGAATCTTATTCGGTAGTGACGTCGAGTACGGGTCGCGTGATTGGTCGGTAATGCAGTGACGCGTATCTCGCCGTCTCGTTTGCGCTGCCGTTGAAACTTAATGTGCTGTTTCGTTCGGGTCGGTAATGCAGTGACGCGGATCTCGCCGTCCCGTTCGCGCTGCCGTGGGATCAGTTTTTGTTTGATGCAAGTATGAGCGTACCGTATCTACCGTTTTTGTTTTAATCTAAGGCAATAATAGCAATTATTTTCCAAATATTTTTATAACCTATAAACAAAATAAGATAAAGTATGTATAAATTAGCGAATAACGAATTACTGTTTAACAAAAACGCTAATTTTTTTTTCAAATATAATCAAATAAACCATTTATATACTTTATTTTTATTTTTTTTCCATGAATTAAATGTTATTGTCCTCAATATCTATACTAATATTATCTCCTCCTCCTCAATATTTTGAACAAACATAGACGTGGCGCTTGTTTTTTTCTAGTAGAAAATTAAACTTTCATTTGGTTAAAGTGCAAAGGTGTTACCCGATAGGTACAGGAATGCAACGAAAAAAAAGTATCGTGCCAAGACATTAGCACAAGATTTGATGAGGCACTATTAAATATTCTGCTTTTACTCACTTTCAACTAAATTTTAACAGTAATTCAAGTCAAGCTGTTACTCTATGGGTACAGTTACGTTACGAAAAATGTACCGTGCAAAAAATATACACATCATGTGCACAGGAACTGCCCTGGCATTTAATTTTTTTTTAATGGTTGCTATTAGTATTATCATTTAAAAAATATTTCACCTGTTACTCGATCGGCCAGGTTTATTGCAGCCAGCTCTCGGGACTAAAATTTGAGTGTGTGTGAAATATAAGCATACCTCCGACCATTTCTAAAATAGTTGAAAAGTGTACTTTAACGCAAATAAACAAATTCATTGAGGAGGAGTATATATTACAAAGTTCTCAATCGAGATTTCGCTCAAAACATAGTACATGCCTCTTTCTGTGTTCTGTGGTAACAAACTGGATCTCTCAAGGAACGTAAAATAATTACGAAACAATATGGGAATGCAAAAAAAGTGCTCTAGTTATACATAACGTCCATTTTTCTTTCTACCTTCATAAGGGGGAAAAATACTCCCAGCGCAACACTACGAAAGTGGAATCTGTCCCTCTCTTGCAACTGTTAGGGCACACTACTGGAACGAGACAGATCCCACCAATTCAGCTATACTCTTGGAACGATTTTGAGGGTCGCATTCCAGTTAGTATATAAGTTCCTTGGGCTCTCTACATCAAAAATTTTCGATGGCGATACGATTACGAATCTGTCAAAATTATTGTTTGGCGTACAGGTATGGTGGGAGTACTTCACAAGGTGCAGGGTTGCCACCTTATCCACAAATCCCCGCTTGGACGATAAATATTATACAATAAAAAGCAATTATTATGATCCAAAAAAGTATTTAATATTAAAACGTGAGTTACAATTACAACAAATGGCATCTTAGTGAAAAGATACATATAAATAATAAAGCTGCGCATTACAAAAATGATTAGTTGTAACAAGACTCCAATTAAGTTCTGTAAAATCAGACAAAATCTCCGGGTTCGATAATTATGAAAAGTTTTTTGCATAATGACAGATATATAAAAATCGCTTGTATGTCAATAATATAATATAATATAGCGAAACCGGAACGTCTGAAAGATATTACAGACAACAATTTTTGTTTTCCAAATGATGTAAATTAAGTATATGTATATAATTTTGATCCCAACAAAATAGTTTAATAACCGAAAGAACACCAATATCTGCAGTTTTCTTTTAAATCACACAAAAAATTGCATAATAAATAAAATGTGTATTTCTAAAGCTATTAACGCTATTGACTATTGAAATTGTTAATTTAACTAATTAAGTACAGAATGGAATTTATCGACTCATCTATTTCTTAATATTGTTACGGTAGATAGAATAATATGGTACAGATTAAATTTAGCTGTTAACTTTCTACAGGGCAAAGTGGTTTAACTATTCATGCGCATGTGCACTTGTAAGCAGATTGTCTGCATTAAACTGTGATATATTTTACTTTCTTTACATATATAACTTAACTGTTAATAACATTATTACTTCACACATAGTGAAAAATGTATTGTGTTCTATTTACTTATCTATTGATAAAAGATTCTAGCTATTTTACTTGGAAAACAATATTTGAGTGAGACTTGACAGTATATAGTTAAAATCTGGTATACAAATGTCAACAGGCAAGAATAGTCCGATTTCATAAAGAATAAATTTTGGGATCAATATATTCAAGTTAATTTCTTCTGGATGATAATCTGGCTTCACATTTCATAACCTCAATACAAACTAATCGCGAAATGTAAAGGTTACTTATACGAATACATCAAAAGTATATAAAGGAAAGAGTAAAGATTAACAGTAATTTACAAATAAATTAGAAACAAAAACAACTTTGTTCTCTGTAATCACAATAATGATCCAAGGCTAGCGAGAGAAACCGCATGGCATACATTCTTAACTATTAAACAAAGCAGAGAAACTCCAGAGACAACGCGTCTAGAAAGCAAATATATTACGATTTTATTTTCAAATAAAATAACCGACCACCCTAATTAATATGTACAACTTATATAAAATAAAAATGTAAAAATTAAATTAGAGAGACTCTAGTACACCATATCTTGTCCTATTGTACGTGTGCGAATGACCAGAAAGTATCTATTCACCAACAAATATTCTAGTGGAAGATGAATACTTGTAAATCGGAAAGTAACCAATAAGTAAACACTAAACATTACATCAACAACCTTCCAAACAACTGGTCTCTTCCTAACCTCTATTAAACCTCTTCAACATTCAACAGTTCAATACGCACCAGTGATCGTTAACCATAACTCCTTTATGCTACTAATTATTTATTACATTAAACATTTATTTCATCTTAATCGACTTATGTAAAAATATACCTATATGTTACATTGTATATGTTGAAAATTTGTTATGATTACGTCATTTTCAATTTACAATGCATACATTTGATCCTTATAGTATATGTATATGTTAAAGAGATTACGTGCATACCTAATGCGATTAATTTCAATTACACAGAACTTACAAATACATGCCTTTCTTAAAACTAGGAAATAAGTTAAAAAAACATATTCTAATCAAAAAAAAAAAATAACTGTCCTACTTGCTAAATTTACAAAAATACCTTATGTTGGTACTTAGAACTTAACATACTTATGTTTTAATTTCCCATTAGTATATACAATGTCAACAGAGATTCATGATTACTTTTAATTACCGTAAAATCATATATGTAATATTTTTGAACAAGGATTCAAGAAAACAATCTCAAAAACTAAATGTCGATCCATTCATGTTATATTTTAATTTTTCATAATTTTGCCAAATAGAATCTCTTGAATAATATCAAGTTCAGCCTTATCTACTTTGAATATTCGCATTAACGAGAGAAATGACAAAAATACTCCTTTAATTCTTTAATTCGAGAAACTATACAAAGGAAAGAAATAATTAATACATCTAGTCCAGCTAATATTATACCATATATTCAATATAATCAATACCTAATAAAAATAATGTTAATGTTCCTTTGTACATTTTACTATACAACAAGATTTTATCGAGTGTTTACAGTTTATCTCGACAATTAAATACTCCGTTTACCAGTAATACATATAATAAATTATTATTAGTAATAAACGTAACAGCCCAACCACAATCAAACGATCCGGCGTTATAAAAGGTGGGCTGATAACGTTCAATAACGAAAACTTTTCGTTTTGTTTACGACACGTCCTCCAAACGCATCAAATCCATACTTATAGAGTATGTCTATAGTACCTATAAAATTTTCATATTGCTTTATAATAGTTCAAAACAGTAATCAGTGCTCAGTCGAGCGCACTATTTCCTCGTGCATTTATCTATAAATGTGATTTTATCGTCCGACTGAAAATATACGCTCTATACAATGTTTGTTCGTGTTTTAACATTCAAAAAGGATTAGCGACGCCTGAATTAAAATTACGATTCGTCAATAATTACTATGACCATGATTTAGTAATTAGCTATCCAGATTTATTTTGTTATAGCGTACGATTGTTGCACCCAAGAAAAGCCTCGTTTTGTAACATATGCAACAATCTAACTCGGTAACGCCAGACACTCTCATGAAGAGATTAGTCCGAATATCCATGCATTGGTTCAAGGAGGGCATAGGACAAGTTCGTTACTTTTGAATTGTGTTCCTATTAGAGTTGTAGACTAAGTAAACAGTAATGAAAGTTTTAAATTGGATGCGAGAGTTTTTGAGGCGTAACAAGGAAAATTATATCTGATGCGTGCAGTTCGAAAGAAGCTTTTAAGAATACCGACTTATTAGTACTTAAATCAACAGAAAACGCCTTGTAAAGTCTATGTTTGACAGATGTCCATTTTCTGCACGAGCCAAAACATGGATGAAAATTTAAGTAAACAACGCGGCATGGAATTCCATCTCGGATAGACCGCGGCGAATAGCTGAACCACCACGCGAGCCAATTTGTATCATACTATTAAGCAATCGTCTCCATTGCGCGCGCGGGGGTTATACAATCAAAGTTGGTAAAGGCCACATTGCCAAAATGTTCAGTAAACGATAAAAACGATTATTTTAATAATTACAGGTAACTATTCTAATGTTAAAAATTATTTATATGCAGAATGTAATACATTATGGAAATATAAGTATTCATCTCGTCAGTTCAATACTTTTGTGTAAAACCTTAAGTATAGGATAGACTTTCCCAGTTTTGTTAGTAAGTTTTGGACTTTGTAAAGTCAATTTTTAATTTGAAATAACAGTCGAGATTTCTAGAATTTGTATTAAGTTATTCTACAGGATATATATAGATACGGAAACGAATGTGTTGTAATTGAAATGTCACTTTTAAAATTTTGTGGACTTTACCAACTATTATTAAATACCTCTGATATATGCTCATCTGATGTGGTCTCAAAAACCGACATCGATCGGTTCATCCCGAGCAAAGATTGAGCTGCCGCGCGAAGCAACCCCGTCTGCGCGAGACAATGTTTCTCGACGCACGTAAAAGCTGAATTATATTTGTCTTACGTATTGTGTCGTGACGCGATCCGTTTCAAACATTTAGTACGGTAATAAACTGCAGCAGTGTTCTCACTCTAACCATACTAAATGTATGAAACAGATAGCTCTCTGATGCGTCACAACACAATACGACTGATAAATGTAGTTCTACCACAATGTTGACGCAGCTTAGTTTTAAGGAAGGTGTTGCAAGCACTAATTTGTTTCTAATTGCGACGTTTATAAGTCGCGATCAACGCACACATTCCGTCCCCAGGCGGGCCAGTAATCCATCAGTGTGTGGACCATAGAGGTATAAGAATAGAGTGGGGAATGCGGCTCTAAAATTGTTCGTCTAGTAGAAAGAGAAAAAAGATAAGATAGCTAGGCTATATCTCTCTCTTATGGTGCATGGCAACCAATGGCATCACATGGTAATAGTAAGAAGCTTACGGTTGCCAATGCGCATGCGCGATTAGAGATAGAAAGCTAGTGGTCTCTCATCTTCTTTCTCTTTCTATTAGATGGACACTTCCACTTGTAGTAGAGCCTATATCTACCCTCAAGGGCGTCGCCAGCTTATGACTAAGGGAGGGCCAACGGGGCAATATAATAGGTAAGGAAGTCAATTTGGCGGCTAGCTACATTTCAACTCTAGGGGGGGATCTTTGCTCCCCTACACTATTCTTATACCTCTATGGTGCGGACGCGGGACAGGCGGGGCAGGCGTGCGGTCAGGAGGCGCGGCGCCGCGGCTGCAGCAGGTAGGAGGCGTCGAGCGGCGCGCGCGTTCCCAGTCGTGCTAGTAGAGAGCGCGCGATGCCGTTCACGCGTTCCTTCTGACGTGCGCGGTCACGTTCCCAAGATGACCAACCAGCGCCCTGCACAATAAATTAAATCATGCTATCCTATATCATCACCATCATCATCTGCCTATTAATGTCCCCACTGCTGGGGCACAGGCCTTCCCTATAGATGGAATAGGGAGATTTGGCCATGACAAACCACGCGGGCCCTGTGCGGATTGGTGGATGCTAACGACTGCAGATGCAGCCGCGAGCAACGGCTTAACGTGCCTTCCAAAGTACGGAGGAGCTCGAGATAGTAAATTTTTGGTCACTCATCCAATGACTGACTACTGCGAAAAATGCTTAACTTCAACGATCACAGCCGAACGCGCTAACCAATTGCGCCATCGAGCTCCTCACTGTTATCCTACGTTTCCACTAAACTCAAACAGTTCTGAACGATCAAGCATTTGTTCGTTTGGTAAATGGAATGCTCAGAGCAAGTATCATAATACCCCGTTTATATTCCGCTGACAGACAACGGACGGAACGATTTCCAACCGTGCCCGCCGCAAAGCATTATAGCACCCGCTGCTCAAGTTTTTTTTTTCTTTCAGAATAACTGACTAGAATATCCATATGACATTGACCACGGTCCAGAAAGGTTTAAAATCTATGCTGACTTACGATAGCTTCGTCTTTCACACTTTGATGCCCGTATTTACTTTACTGCAAGATAAGGAACGGTAAGACAGTTCAGTACCCTTAGCACGGACCAATATCGAATTCGACTAGTTGAATTCGATCTCGATACGCATCAAATATTTGGTGGGGAGCTCGAACATAAGTGGTTAGCGCATTCGGCTGCGATTACTGCGAAGTTAAGCAAATTTCGCAGTGGTGGATCATGGCCCAAACTCCCTATTACATCCATTGGAAAGGCCTGCAGGGCCCGATCCAAGAGGGGGCGATCCGCATTTGCCCAAAGCGGCAAAATTGACTTAAGAGTCAGCCGTAAAGTACCTTATTGAAGGGCTGATAGGCTGATGATGAAGAACGCGTCAAATATCAAGAACTTTTGTAAACATACTTCATTAAGTCAAATAGGTGAAATAAAATGATGGAATGAAAATATACCTTATTCAAATTGACTTATTGAAAGCTCTTTTGAATCGCATATTTTTCCTACCACACATTCAGGACATCTTATAGCTGATAAGAAGACTAGGCGCAAGAAATTTATCACCATTAACAGAAGTAGCAACATTAACATCAAATCATGTCACTACTGTACTGTCAATGAGCAAAGTGTTCTTTATTCCAAGAGACTTCGAATCATTCAAGTTATCTTGGTATCGATAATATCCATTGCTCATCAAAGTATTAATGAAATGAGTTTTTAGTTTATGAAGAGGTAGATTAACAGATTATACTGTGTGGTTACTTATTATAAAAGGTATTATGAAATCAAAGTGAGAGTGATGAATTTACCTTAGAATTATCAGCAACAGCTAAAGTCGTAGTCTTCTTTTTCGCATCTTTATTAGCTGCATTTTTGTTCTTGTCGGTGGGTGCTGCACTCTTCCCTCTAGGTTTCAAGTATTCAGGCGACACTTCGTGTGGCTATAAAAAACACCATTTATGTTTAGTTAAAAGTAAAATTTTAGAAAAGATAAACTTCATATACATAAGTCATAAAATATATCCATACTAATAAATAATATAAATGCGAGTGCATCTGTCTGTATGTTACCTCTTCTTTAGATTAAATTTGGTACAGAGATAGTTTTTACCCCAGAAATCGTCCTTGAAGGGGTCTGAAAAGGGGGGTGAAAATTTGTATAGGAAACCAATTTCTCTACACAGACGAGGTCGCGGGCAAACACTAGTAGAATATAAATAAATTACCTTAATTCCAGATACTTATATAAAACAGTATTGTTATATTGTTAAAATTAAACACATTTTACAGAAAAGTGTTTTACAGTGGTAAATATATTTCAAAATGCAACATTTACACAAATTTTTAAAATGAGTTCTACCTTATTATCGACTTTAAGAAAAAGAGATACCCACTTTCAAATGTTAGTACAATGCTTTCATTCATGCATCATGCAAGTGATTAATGTATTAAAGCAGTGATTCCCAAAGTGTTACAGTGTTGTGTAAAAAAATATGTGTACAGTGTACACCATGCAGTACTGACCGCATAAGTCCGCGTGGCCTTCAGCCGCTGCGGGAAGGTGTCGAAGGCGTAGGGCTTGGTGCAGATGGGATACTTCGGCCGCGATACTTTGGTGAACAGTCGCGCGGTGCGGTCTACACGCAACTCGCAGATGTAAACGTGCTGTTCTGATGCGCCTACAGGACGACCCTGTATATAAAAAGGATAGTTTTATAACAAATAATCGTTAAGTGTCAAACTAAAACAAATAAATCCATTTTTTCACACATTTAAAAACCAGGTTTGGTAATGGATCAGAATTTTAAAAAATACACTCTATTCTCTTTCTCTTATTCAATTATATACCAACTAATGTTTCACAACGAAAAGGTTTTGTAAGAGTGAAATAATAAACTCCTGAATGATTTTGTTGAATAAATATGAAAAGTTACTCACTTTACAATATGTGTTGAGATCCATAACCCAACATTGAGACATAACAAGTTCTATAGGCACAGCTTCATACAACGGTACACGCATCACCTCATTGTGGAAGAATCTGAAAATATACAAAATATTTCACAGTCCTTTTCTGTACTGTACTGATATCGATAAAAAATTAAGTATTGAAATTATGAAACCTCCAATTAACTGATACGGAAGTCACAAAAAAGACTATTGATTTTATTGCCACTGAAACAAAGGTGTACTAACTAAATCAAAAGTTCTATTATTTCCTTTTTATATGAAGTCGTTCACGATATTTTTAATCGAAAATGACAACCGCTCGAATATCGACCTTATTGTACAAGAAAATAAGGTTAACTCACTTCCTAGTGGGCTCGTGGAAGGTTTCGTGCGGCCTCAAGTAGTGGTGTCCGTAAACGTAACGTTCTTTCGTGTCTTTATGCTTCCAGAGACGTTCCACGCGGAATATATCCAGCTCCGATACTGCTATCTCACCGATAGTTTGGTAAGTGTGCTTGCGAACTTCTCCATCCTGTGGACATTCATGAAAGCTTTAACAAACAACTATTACATCAAGTAAAGAGAGGCTACATGTATATTATGATGATTATTATTACTTTTTGGTCGTAATCTTTCAGTTAAGCTTCTCGTGAGCCGAATCTGCTAAAGCTTTTGCGATACAAAATAGAAAATTGCCAGTAGGACAGCTCCCATCTATCCAAAACCAATAGAGGTAGATTTAGGTAATTGTTATCGAGATTATTATCTAACCTACACTAAACCTACCGCTATTTTGACAACACGTAGCGACTATATGCAACTTGAAACTTCGTGAGAATGCCGGCAAACCTAAAGCCAGCTCCAGACATGAGTTCAAATGCGACAAAAGTATCAAATGCCCATACCATACATGTAAACACTTATTTGATCACAACTTTGAACACATGTCTGGCGCGGCAATAACGTCAAGCTGGTAAGAACTTTATGGCTGTGGTAATACCTAATAGGCTATTTGACAGCATGACAAATAATGTACCCAATGATGAGACTAAAATTAACATCAGTCTCTCCTTTTCATTTTATATAGCGAATGGTAAGGATACACTTGTCAAATTTAATTTTAAGTTTCAAGATTCGACACCATTATTGGCATATTTATTTATCATGAATATTGGTAGCAATTTCAGTATTCTGACAAAAAAAACAAGTACCGCAATAATATAAGTGCCATACAAGACCATCTACTCACTTTACTCTGAGAAACGTCCTCAGCTTTGCCTTTCCCAATGTTCTTTAGCTTCTTCCTCTCAACGCGCTTGGTCTTAGGCGAGTCAGTCTTGTCGCCATTTTTCTGGCTAACGTCTGGGTGTTTATCGTCGATGGGAATGTCGCGCAACACGTACACGGTGTCGCCTTGTCGCACTTGCAAGTCGCCTCGCATCAGCGATAGGTAAAACTGGTGTCCTTCTTCCGTGTAATCGTCTAATGGTATTTCACGGTCCACCTGTAAGGAAAACATTTGTTACTTTCCAAATATTAAGACCAACATGCTTTTTTACTTAGGCTACGATCCTCTTCTCAGTTAGTAGAAGAATAGAATACAACGAATGCTCTCAAGCTGACGAAAAACCTTGACTTGACCTTGAAAATTGACTGCCTTTCGTATGAAGGCAAAAGATTCGTAGTTGTTCATGAATTGCTCCATCTAGCGATCGGACGTAACAACGCACGAACAAGGGCGTGTTTCAACTGGCAACAATCTGTCACCGTTGGAAGCAGTTATCACCGGAACGGACGGGATGGCGTTGTATATCAATATAAAACCCAAGAGCACGATCGGCGGAGCACTTTCTTTGGCCAAAGGGGTCCAGCTTCGACTCCTCTCAGACTACATATATATATTCAAAATTAATGTAACGAAGTTGAAAATATATCTTTATTTATTTATTGAGAAGTTCGCTTTATTTCCTCAACAAATACTAGAAAAATATACATGGACCTTCAGAGCCGAATAATATAAGAAGAATCAGAGAAGAAAAAAGAAAACAGAGAAAAGCAGAGGTTTGGTCGTATCGTTCCTTTCTTTCCCTAATCGTATTTATGCTAAAACTGTGATTAATTACAGGTGATTCGTCTCGCAAATCTGGTTCGCGTGATTAAGCCACGGTGTTTGCAGAGAAAATCGTGAGTACCCTTGTTTTTCATAAAGTGCTAAAATGAGTCTAGTTGTAGAATATATGGATAGGATATCTGTGCGTAGCAAGTCTCCTTTGCCGGTTTTAGAAAATATCAGTGATAATGTGATTCACGATTTAAATAAAAAACGCGGAACAATCAAGGGTAGATTGACACTTTTTACGAAATTTGTAAACTCCTTTAACGGCCAACCGTTAAACGATAGGCAGTTAAAAGAATTAAAATTGAGATCTAATGCTGCAAAATCTTTAATACAGGATTTTGAAAGCATTCAAAGTTCTATAGAGGAATTAATCTCGTAAAAAGAATTATCTCAGCAAATAGATAAACGGGAGTTTTTTGAAAATTCCTACTATAAGGTTTTAACAGAAGTTGATTGTTTGTTGCAGAATACTGCTGGTAATTCGGTCGTTAGTGACAAATCCAAGTGCAATTCAAATCCGTTAGTTAAATTGCCTACTATCACATTACCTACATTTGACGGGTCGTACAATACGTGGCTAGAGTTTAGGGATACCTACCTTTCGTTGATACATAATTCAGCGCAACTTGATGATATACAGAAATTTCATTATTTGCGATCTGCTTTTACGGGGAGTGCTAGTCAGGTGATAAAATCTTTAGAATTTTCCTCTGTTTACACAATAGCATGGGACCTGCTTAACCGTAGATTTAATAATAATAATTTATTAGTGCATAATCATGTCAAAGCTTTGTTTTCTATGCAATCAATAACTAAAGAATCGCCCCATTTAATTAGAAGGTTGATTGATACAGTGTTGAAGAATTTACGTGCTTTAAAAACACTTGGTGAGCCCACAGAATGGTGGGACACTCTTATTATTCATACCATTATTTCTAAATTAGACTTGCTCTCAGAAAAAGAGTGGGAACAACATAAAATAGTAATAGGTAACAGTCAATCTTCGAAGCTTTCTCAGTTGCTGGATTTCTTAACGGACAAAGCAAACATGTTAGATATGGTACAGGCGAATCATTCTGCTCATTCTATTAACAAACCAATTGCGGATGGCCAGATAAAGCCACAGAAATTTCATAGTTTTACCTCGGCTCATACCTCCACTCAAAATAACCGAAAAGTTGCGCGCACCCGCAATTGTGTTATGTGCAACGGTAACCATTCGCTTTATGCTTGCACTCAATTTACAAAATTATTATCGAATGAAAGGTCAGGAATCGTGAAAAAGAATAATTTGTGCATAAATTGTTTACGGAAAGGACATACCGCGAGTGAATGCTATTTTGGCCCGTGTAAGCAATGCAATAACAAACATAATAGTTTACTGCATAATGAGTGTTGTAAAGACAGTTCATTAATAGCCGAACCTTCTGGCACTTCTGCAGTCATGCATTCGCAAACTCGTTTATGTTCAGGTCGTAATGAAAGTTCTATTAGTAAGTCGAAATCGGTAGATTCGGTTTTGCTGTCTACTGCCGTTATCGAAATCGCGGGTATCGACAACAAATATCATAGGGCTCGTGCTTTACTTGATAGTGGTAGTCAACATTGCATTATTTCCGAATCAGTACGCAGTAAAATAAACTCTTATTCGATACAGTCCGCTTATCAGATAGTAGGGGTGGGACAGACGGTCTCACAGTCGGCCCAGTTGTGTGAAGTTAAGCTGAGGGCTTTAAACGATAATTATCAAACGAACATTAAATGTTTTGTTTTGCCGGTATTAACAAATATGTAAATATATGAACAACCTACATTCAAAATAGATTCTAATTTATTAAATATACCGAAAGAAATCAGCTTGGCAGATCCTACTTATTATGCGCCGTCAAGGATAGATTTGATATTAGGGGTAGATGTCTTCTGGGATTTAATACTTGAAGGTAGAATTCGCTTAAGTAACGGACCTTATCTCCAGAATACTAAGTTAGGATGGATAGTGGCTGGCCCTATCTCCTTTGAACATAGGCGCATTATTCCGGTTCAATGTAATTTCACCCAAACGTTAGAAATAGGGGAACAGTTAAGAAAATTTTGGGAGATAGAGGAAGTAAGCCACAACAATAATTTATATACCCACGAAGATAAAGTTTGTGAAAAATTATTTATAGACACAACTAAGCGTTTGAAAGATGGTCGGTTTTCTGTGCGCATACCGCTAAAAGAGTCAACAACTGAACTTGGCGATAGTTACGAAGTCGCTAAAAATCGGTTTCTTTCACTTGAGCGTAATGTTGAGTACAAACAAATGTATCATGAATTTATAAACGAGTACATAGGGCTAGGACACATGACTCACGTTGCAGGTTGCCCGCAACCTAATTATTTTCTACCTCACCATGGTGTGTTCCGTGATGATAGTGTTACCACGAAGTTATGTGTAGTGTTCGACGCTAGTCAACCTACGTCATCCGGAAAGTCACTTAACGATATTCAAATGACGGGTCCCCCTTTACAGAGTGATTTGTTTGCACTTCTTTTACGTTTCCGCCAGTATCAATATGTTGCGTGCGCTGATATTGAGAAAATGTTCAGGCAGGTGTTAGTACAAGAAGATCAACGGAATTTACAGATGATACTATGGCGAGAAAGTCCTTCCGAACCACTTTCTGCATATCAGCTCAACACCGTTACGTACGGAACCGCGTCTGCACCCTATCTTAGCATGCGATGCGTTAGACAGTTAGGGCATGAATGCACGAGCGCGGAAATCGCACATACAATATTAAATAACTTTTATGTTGACGATTATCTGGTAGGTCATAATAATAAGACGGAATTAGTGCGTATATGGGGCATTCCACGTGAAGCGGACAGGTAAAAAAACTCGATGTTTCCGATTTCAGTAATATTTGAGTATGTTCTACTTATACTTATTATTGATACGTGTACCAAATATTTTTGTGATATATTGACTAGTTAAAGAGTAATGGTACTTTGAAGTTTTCGACAAACGGTTGGCATGCAGTACTTCAAAGCCGATTATGGACTCATAAAATTATATATTAAAATAACTAAACCACTGGATTTCCTACTTTATTTACTGGGCTTTTTAACTGTGTTTTTGGAATAGAAAAAAAAATTTTTTTTTCGTAAAAAAAAACCAATTTAAGTTTTTTTCCTTGATTTTCACCAAGTTAGACCATTTAGTTTTTTTTAATTTTTTTTATATAAATTGCTAATATTGTATAGAACATTGGTGCCAACTTTTATAATGGGCGTGAAAGTGGATTAGGAGCTAGACTGAAAATACTGCCGAAGGGTGGCGTCCAGCGCCGCGCCTGTTGACCGCCGCTTGTGCGCGATTAGTCATCAAACTGTCAATCAAATAAAATCACTTTTGACGGAATGTTTTGTAGATTTTTAATAAAACCAATACATAGAAAAAATTCCACGCGGACCAGGCAGCAGACGGGACTCGAACCCGCACCCTTCGCAATCCGGGCGAATGCACTGACCAATTATGCTACCGCGGCCCTCATGGACCGCGTCGAAATTCCTCTAGCCAGGTGGCAATGGCATAATTGGTCAGTGCATTCGCCCGGATTGCAAAGGATGCGAGTTCGAGTCCCGTCTGCTGCCTGGTCCGCGTGGAATTTTTTCTATGTATTGGTTTTATTAAAAATCTACAAAACATTCCGTCAAAAGTGATTTTATTTGATTGACAGTTTGATGACTAATCGCGCACAAGCGGCGGTCAACAGGCGCGGCGCTGGACGCCACCCTTCGGCAGTATTTTCAGTCTAGCTCCTAATCCACTTTCACGCCCATTATAAAAGTTGGCACCAATGTTCTATACAATATTAGCAATTTATATAAAAAAAATTAAAAAAAAACTAAATGGTCTAACTTGGTGAAAATCAAGGAAAAAAACTTAAATTGGTTTTTTTTTACGAAAAAAAAATTTTTTTTTCTATTCCAAAAACACAGTTAAAAAGCCCAGTAAATAAAGTAGGAAATCCAGTGATTTAGTTATTTTAATATATAATTTTATGAGTCCATAATCGGCTTTGAAGTACTGCATGCCAACTGGTTGTCGAAAACTTCAAAGTCCCATTACTCTTTAACTAGTCAATATATCACAAAAATATTTGGTACACGTATCAATAATAAGTATAAGTAGAACATACTCAAATATTACTGAAATCGGAAACATCGAGTTTTTTAACCTGTCCGCTTCGCGTGGAATGCCCCATATGTAAAGGTGTTATCGATGTGTGTAAGTCGGGCTGTTTTCCATTACGAAAGTGGATATTTAACTCGGATGAAATCGCTAAGGAAGTCGCTCAAGATGATAACTGCCAGTCGAAACATTTTACATAGTCTAA